ATGTAAATAACGAAACTTTTTGAATAAAAAAAGTACAGTTTAAAATAAAAAACTATTTTAACAAGCGAAAAAAAAAAGTTACATTTTTGTTACGCAAATATGAAAAATATTGATGATCTACATGTCAGATGATTGTTAATCAAAAATATTACATGCAGTTTTGAGATAAACAATATCAATTTATTATAGATAGATAAATTAATTCTTATATATTTTTCTATTAGATAAGCTTCTTTATTTTATTTTAAAGGTTTTTTGTCTTGCTACTCTATTCCGTCTCTAGTAGTGGAAGAGGAAGTAGATATTCACGAAGGTTAGTCATTACTTCAAATATTATATTTATTTTATATTTTTATCTTCAACTAGACCAGATTCTTTTGTATTTTTCTCCAGCTATTTTAAGATCTCAATTGATTGCTATTGCGATAAGTCTCTCCAATACGCTTTAGAAATCACAGCTTTGTAAAATGTACCATATGAAGAGATGACACAGATTGCATAAGTAATCTAATCGATATGATTCTCAAATTACTCCAAATTTTCTCATTCACAAGCGAATATCTTAGCAAGTGTTTGTGCTTACCCATAGTCAGAAAACAAGATATTTTTCAAATGTTTATCCTGTTTAAAGATTCTTAGATGTCAAAATTTGAAGAAATGTATGATTTTTAAGTGATCAATACAAAATCCCGTTACTAAAATAGTAATTCTATTCATATTTACTACAAAATCAGGATTTGCAGACACTTTCTTATCATTAATGGTCAGCTTGTAGTTTTCTTTGATTCTAGGTTTAAAGTATAATGACAAACTTAAGAATTAATAGCAATAAAAAGGCATTTATAATTTACCTGATAAATAGGTCTTAGATTCTGCCATGCCTATAACAATACCTAAATTCACGATAACTCTGTATAGACCAAAAAAAACTGCTTTACATATTTATTAGTAGTGTTAAGCTTGCTAACATCAAAATTTTTCTTTTTGAGAACATCATGACTGATTTCTGGGAGAAAGTATTGGCTCGTGGCTAGAAAATATTTTAAAAATTATAAGTTGAGATTATTTTCATAATTATTGCCTTTAATGTCAGGAATGATTTGATTCGGAATCGGAACCAGAACATTTTCTTAAGGACTTGGTGACTCTTGTAACATCTGATTCTTGTCTGAGTTCCACATATCGAACTGGTTCAATTATTATTTTTTGCTTTTTTGAAGCTTTTAGTGTCTCTTGTTGAGTACTATCACTTTTAGCTTCGACAGTTTTTTGACTTTGTTGCCATTTTTTGGTCAAGGATAAAACAATTTGACAAAAATAAAATCTATTGTGGTATGATGAGAAAGAAAAGTACAATTTTACTGGAATGTATTAGGGTGAATATACATATCAAACATGCGGAATTTCTATGACCTTCCGTAATACAAACTTATACAGTATATGTTGATCATGTGTTCATGCAATCAATGGTTTACCTAGACAAGACTCCTCTTGAAATTCGGCTAAGGTAAACCTGCAGAAGGAAATAGAGGCATGGTAAAAGCGCAAGGCAAAAAGTGCGCAAGTTAAATCATAATTTCGCCTAGAATATATTATCTCACAAATTAGTAGAATTAGATGCAATAATTTTTTCCACCTCATGTACCTTCATCTTCAGATCCTCAACTTCATATCGTAATCTTTAACTCGTTCCTTTTCTATATCTCGCATGAACTTCTCGAAAGTTCTTTTATTATAATCACAGGTGCTGGGATAACGTGACCCGGTGGTTGTTTTCTTTCTCGTGATCACATGTTATATTATCAGTTTGAACTTCATTATCCGTGACATATATAAGCTGGTAATGTAGGGAATATATTACATTCAGGTTAGCTTCGATGACGCAATAATTTTTTCTGAGCCATAGTTCCCTCAATCATAGAATTTCGGGATATATAAGATATCAATACTGATACAAATAACTGCCCATTCACATAGTCGAGCCCAGATAACAGTCATACTAGTATAAATTTTTCGTTCCCTCAGGGAACGATTCGATTGAGTCATGTGATTTTACTTTCACTTGCTCCGCAATACATACATACAATATGTTATTTAGTATTCGATCAAAGTAACATACTTTGCAATGTGAATAATAGCACAGTCTATGTGATACATAAAATGAATATTTGATTCGAAAAGTTATACACACCCAGCCTATTTATTCATAAAGCCAATGACAATATTATACGATATATTGAGTTCTTGAAATTGGAGGAGGACTTATGTTTTTATATGCAGATTAGTACATTACTATGAAAATTGGGCAAAATATAATCCGGCTATACTAGAATTGGTAATATTTAAACAAAGGAGAATAGAACTAATTAACCTGAAAAATGATGCCGATGCATTGATTTATCACATAAGATGCCGGATACTATGGATTTAATCCGAATTTAATAAAGTTTTGGACTACGATTTATAATAGCATGTGTTTTATTTTTCTGGAAAAAACACTTCAGTTATCGTTAAATACTTTATTTTCCCAATGAACAGTTATACAACCCACACCGGACCCATGTTATCACGAGCCCAATGTGAGCGAAAATACTATTTTTCATTATTAAGTAACTTCAATGTCAAACTATTATTACAAATGTAAAAATGCAAGAATAAACGCATTGCTTCAATTATTCATTTCTGATTAAGCAAATCAACGGCTCTTCTTTTCATAGGTGTGGGATTACAATCAGAGACTTCCGTTTTTTTAGTTTTCCGTTGATTTTTCACCTCTTCAAATTTTCAGATTTAACAATTCTCATTGTCTGCAAAATTACATACTAAAGAAAAATAACAATCAACTTTTCTTAAAATTTAAGATAAAATCCAGTTATCTCATTATTGTTGTATTTAATAATTTCTTTTTTATTTATCTATAGCTCAAGTGGATCTTTTTTCATACATAAATAACCGTTTGGGCAATCAAGGTTTTTTTTAGTTCCTACATAAATTAATACATAGCATTAGTAAATTCAATCAATTTCAATTCCAAAAGCATATCAATACAATACAAAGTAAACCTGGAATATTATTCTTGCGAAATTTATCTTTATTTTTCGTGCAAGATTAATGAAAACACTTTTAGTAAGGTCAAACACCATTACTTTATGAGCTTTGTGCCTTGCTCTAGCCTCAGATACTTGCCCTCGATCCGATTAACCGTCTCCTTCCTCCCAATTTGGAACCGGTAATTTTCAACCAGTTAATTAACCGTTTAAGACGTTATCTTTGTTAACCGGATAAAGATTTTTAATAACCGGTTAAAATATTGAACCGGTTAAAGTATTTAATGTTAACTATGGCCGAAATTTGATTTTCGGGTAGAATTAAACTTTTTTGAGATTACAAAATTTCGCTAGTTTTGCCCAAGCTTATAGTGCCTACCCGAGTTAAATTAAACCGGTTAATAACCGGTTAAAAAAATTCTTTAACTGGTTAACCGGTTAAGGATTTTTGGACTGGTTCCAACCTCTACAATTGCCTTTCGTTGCATTGGATCTATATTAATTGAAGTTCTGCTACGATTTTTCCTCTCAGACCAGCCTTTTCGCCTCTATACAGAAAAAGCCAAGTTAAGTGTAAAGTAGCGAATGATAATTATATAATTAATCTTCGATTCACCCAACGAAAAACGATAAATGCATGTCTGAAAAGGCTTGTTAAGTGTCCTCCAGACATTGAGTCAGAACCAGCTTTCCGGTAAAACTTGTGTGATTGTCCCAGCAAACGGACTTGCACAATATTTATTTATTGATAAGCTAAGAAAAAATATGAACCATAAGAAGTTGTTCACTTACCAATCATTTACTGTACTTCTCACATGTTTATACGCGAAATCAATGAGAGGACTAGAATTTTCACAAGGTCGAGGGTGAGGAAAATAGAGTGCCTCGCGTATTTCTTTTGTCGAGTCCTATTAAAGAGAATCGATTTATTATAAAATGCCAAATGAATGAAATGATAACATCTACATTTACTTTTGAAAAGGTGTCAATATACTGGAGTAGGTCATCATCTATTTGTATAGTTCTTGTATAGACTTTGCTTCGCGGAACTCTCGTAGCTCATTCATAGGTAATCCGGATTGCACAAATTTGTCCTCAGGGTCATTGATAAAGGAATGCACGAGACTGAAACATAATAAAGTTTAGGTAGGTCATTCTTAGCTTCCCGAACAAGTTTTTTGGTATAAATTGATTCTACTCATCTAGAAGAATTTTATAACAATCTGAGCATATCATAAAGTCAATATAACCATTTTCA